ACTAGCCCAGATGCAAACACCTCTGCCATAGACTGCCACACACAGCCTCTTGAGATGTTTTTACATTTCTATAGGGGTTCATATATCTCTTACCATTCCCCAGGACCCTGAGATGATCCTTCTGCAGCTCACAGGGCAGGGAGGTTCTGCAGCTGAACCTTCCCAGCTCCAACCTGCAAAAGCAGCTCTGCAGGAAGAGATTCTTGCTGAAAGAAGGCTGTGCCAGTCGGACGTGCTGGGTGAAGGGATTAGATCTTCAGGGAATGGTTGCAGAATTTCACTGGAGCACGAAGAGGCTTTCAGCTGACCTGGAATAAGTGGGATCTGACACATTCCTTTGTGCCAAAGCTGGGCGGTATGGATGAGCTATGTGCACAGATGGTGCTCTGTCTGACGATCTTGTAGCTGTGTGCAATCACAGAACAGTTGTCCTTCCAAACATGCCAAGCCCCTACCCACTTTTTTCCCAAGCCTCTTCCCATTCCCTCTCCTCCATCCTGAAATACCCCTAGCAATTAAAGTGCCATCAATCTCTGCAAAACGTGGGTGTGAATCAAGGGCAATTAACAAAGGAAAACCAAGGGTTCATTTAGAAAGCTGCCAATTCAAATCTGAGTGGGAGGCAGACCCTTTGTAAAAGTATCAGAGCACTTTTTCAACCCCGTGAAGCTAGGCTGACAGGCTTAACTTGTTCACAAACAGTGCCTTCAGTCAAAAATGAGATAGTAAAATTTCACTATACCTGTAGATGTTGTATGTGTAATGAAAAGCATCCTGTCAGTTTATCAGCAAGGAAGCAGATGGAGCAGTTGAAACTTTTCAGCATTTCTGGATGTTAGCATGTAAGTCATATGATTACAGTTTGAGAAAAGGACTTTACAGGTTTGCTGCATTTAGCCTATATCTGGTGTCCTTCACAAGTTCTGAAATGGTGACAGAGGGCATGAAAGAAACTGTAAGGATTTAATTTTTAAAATTACTCAAAATGATAATAGGTATGGAAAATGTTCCTTTTTAACTTCTTCAGCAATTTAAGTGATTTCTCAAGGATAAAAATTGCTTACAGATGAAATCCATTAATTTAATGCCATGTGTTATTGAATGGCATAATTCCATAAAATGACGCACATAGGTACAGAATGACTCTGGATGAAGTCAGTGAGTGGTTTAGCAAGGCTTGCAAATTCTGTGCAAATGTGAAGAAAATGAACTGAAATAATGTGCTGTAAACTCATGAGAATTAATCCAGTTTCAAGATGTGGGAAAGATACTCACTTGAGTCCTAGTGATTATGTCACTGTGCTATGATTGCAAGCGAAAAAAAGCATTTCTTTATGTCAGATGACACAGCTTCATAAATTACTGGAAACTAGCTCTCATTGCATCATTTATTTTTGCTCACAATTAATATTATGTGCTTTACATGCCATTACATATCAGATGGCATTATGGGAAGGTCTGTCTTCATTCAGGGATGCCATTGTTAAACAAAATAATTTAATTTGTGGTAAGTTACCCATCAATATCCATACTGATTCATCCAAGCATCTTTTTGGAACCTGGATTCCAACCATAACAAGTCATCTGCATCTTAATATAAGTTGGCTGAGCAAGGGTTGAAAGATAACACATTTCCTTGAGCTTATGAGCAAGCTGAGAAAGTTCCTTTCTCATGAAAACAACATCAAATTTTAACAAAAAACCCAAAATGCTATATGGACATTTTGAAAAATAAGCTTATTAAAATGTATATTTCTGAGTAATGCATAGTCAGCTGCATGCTTTATGCACTCTACATGGAGAAGTGAACGTATGTAAACTTTATGAGCATTTTTTTACATTGTAAGAAGTGTAACTGGGAAAGGGGAGAACACATGTAAGAATTCATTCAACACATCCACTGCTGACGTGTTGCTGATTTCATCACCAAGTCAAAACTAAGCTTGAAGACCACCTGAATAAGCTTTATGAACACACATAACTTTTCAGAATCATTACAAGAATAACTTCTAGGCACAGCAAAGGGTGAGTGGAATTGCTGCTTGTAGCAGCTGAGGATTTCCAGAATTAGAACTGACGTACAGCAAGTGTAAAGCAAGCAGATACCGTTGACTCACTTTGGAAACCATTTAGAGATATATTGCTTCCCCAGCTACCGGAAACTGAGGACTGAAGTGTGTACAGTATTCAAGCTCTCAGCTATATGTGAGAGTCTATTTTCAATGATGAATGCTCTAAAAATAAGCAGAGTATGCCTGCCTCAGGAACATCTAAAAACTCTTTAGAAATGGCAACAACTGGTTGTTTACCAAACTTTCAATACCTTCATGAAGTGTCACCTTCCACATTACATTTTGGAGTTTAGAGGAATGTGTTTGTTTAAAAAGAAGTGGAATTAAGAAGAAATAGGTTTTCATGAGTTTGAAGACAAAACTGTCCAAAATGCAAGCAACAAAAAAATAGAGTAAAATAATCTTTAAATCCAAATAGATATTTGGCATCCTCTTTGAATCCCAGATGACAGAAAGATCTTAATAAATGTTGGGTAGTTTTGGTTGAGGTCTAGTAATGAAAAGATAACTTCAAGTTGGCAACTTGAAGTTGGTTCTTATATATATCTACCAATTCCTTACATTCCCCACTGGCGTATATTTATTCCCTTAGTCATCTAAGGGAGATTGATTACAGTTGCTTATGCATAAGGCTGTTTCTTATTACTGCATGTGAAAAAGAGAGAATTGAACCTGTGAGACTGAATCTAAACCAAAAGGGAGCAAAAAAAAATGACAGTCTATAAATGTATTCAAAAATGTTCACGGGGCAATATAAGTAGAAACTTCATTCTTTAACTACTTAAAACCTTTTTTTTCTGGCATTTTAAGAAAGAAAAATCTTTGTCCTCTATAATTTTATATTATATGATCTCTGCGCTGGCACCACATAAAAGATTCAAGGTAGATATTCTCTCCCATGGTCATCGTTTCATGTATTACTGTTTTTCTTTCCATTTTATTTTAAAGGACTGTCCATGCTATGTAGCATACTCCATTCCCTAAAACCTGCCTCACTCCAGGAAAATCTGCATGATTAAGGACTGGCAGAGTTTGGGTCAAATGGGTGGCATGCAGCACAGCACTGCTTTGAAAGATCAGTGTTCAGAGGGTAGTGGTTTCTTTTAAATACAGTCCAGCAAATGAAACATGAAGAACTTTAATGGAGGAGAGGATATGAGAGCTGCTGCCTTTCCTGCCTTGCTGATACTCATTGAGCCTTATTTGCCAGTCCAGCAAATCTGATGTTGGCCAATTTATGGATGAAGACAGACAACTCTTTCCTAGTTCTGTGACTGAAACAGAAGTCATTACTGCTTTGAGACGGGGTACTACCTGCAGACCTTTCTTTTGCTCCTGAGAACTGGTAAACTTCTGAGGAGCAGGCAGAAATGTTTATTTTGGCCTCTGAAAAAAAACTATACAGAATTTGACAAGACAATTTTCTAACCATAAAGAGATTTAAACAGATACTGCCAGAAGTAAGCTATGTATATCGAATTTCTTACATCCTGCCATACTTCCAAAGTGTGAAAACAGCGGAAACAACATAGTCCAACAGGTTTTGTTTTTTTTTCAAGATGTTGAGCTAGACTGTGTTTCACCTTAGTACATCATATATGTATTCACAGCCAAAGCTCATTTTATAGACTTGCCTTAAATAGGAAGCTGGAATTTAAAGTTCATTTAAGTGCAAGCCAACTTACACAGTCTAATATACAGTCTGTATCAAGACACAAAAAGAGCGTAGCTAGCAGGTTCAGAAGTGACTATTCCCCTCTATTTACCAGTTGTGAGATCACATCTGAAACACTGGAGATTCAGTGCTAGAAAGATATTGGCAGACTGGAATAAATCCAACAAAGGGCATCCAAGATAATCAAGGCTGAATCACATAACATTCAAGGTGGGGCTGTGGGAACTGAGTTTGTTCAGGCTTAAAGAAGCCAAGGCTAAAGAGAAGTCCGATAGCTGCCCACAACTACCAGGAAGAGCACAGGATGAGGACAAGAGAAGTTCCATCCAACCTGTATGGTTCTGAGTCCATTACTCATGGTTTGTTATGGCTTATGGAATGGAAACTTCAGTGAAAACAAAGAAACGTATCCACAGTTGCTTTGGAGGTCATCAGCCAACAGCGCATTTCATGTTGAACAGCCCATTTACTACTTAATTCCTGCCCTTGATGTTAGTGTTTCCATGGGCTTCTTTTTCAAGGTAGAGTTTGTGAGGTCCTTAAATTCCACTTTTATGAGCAGTAAAACATGCTGCTGTTTATTGGAAATGCATTTCCATTAAGCATTTCAGTTGTGCCTGGACACAGAATCACTTTGTAAGAGGAAATAACAGCTTCTCACTTGCATGGGAAGCCAACCTTCACTGTTTTAACACCTTCTAAGAACTTGTACATTTTCTTGACTTTCTCTGGGAGTTTGGAAGCAAAAATAAGGAACAGCCTTTCCTTAGCTGTGGGGTCCTGAGGGGGACAGATTGTAAAGATCTGTAGTGTTTCACTACACTCTCCAAGACATTAGTAGGAGCAAAAATACATGTTAAGCTAGAAAGAGTGTGTGGAGTAGCATACAACAGCAACACCTCCGAGACGTGTGAAGTGCCACTGTTGACTACTTGTAAGAGAAGGAAAGGGAAGAACTGCAGGCTGTTGCGGTTGTATTATCCATGTGCTCTAATTACTAAAATTCACGTCACGCGTTTTTGCCTGCTGGCAGACCAAAAACTAAATCCTACAGTTTAAACTGGCTCGGGAAATGAAATAAGCAGGGCTAGCAGAATTACAGCTCCTGGCTCTTTTATTTAGTCATCAGAGGGGTCTATTTCGCAACCAGCGAGGAGCATCCTCAGCTCTAGCTCTACAGCTGCTGCCTCCTGAGCCGACGCATCACCACAGCGCGCCCCGGAGCCCTCTTCCACGCTCCCGGAGCCCAGCGGGCGGAGCCGCGTCCCGCACGCCCAACCCGCCCCGACGGCTGCGGCGCCGGCCCCGCCGCCGAGCCCGAGCCTGAGCCCTTCCCCGGGCGGCAGGATCGGGCCGCCCCGTCCCGCCCTGCTGCCACGCGGGGGCCGCCGCCGCTTCCAAACTTTCGACGGGCCGCTGCCCCATCGACAGGGAGGAGAGAGCCGCCCCGGTGAGTGTGCGAGGAGCAACGGGGATGTGGAGGGACCCGTGCCAAGCTCTGTACTGGGAGGCGGGAGCAGCCGCCCCACGGCGGGGAGACGGGGGTCCGCTCCCTGCCCTGGGAGACCGGCTCCTGTGGGAATGTCGGCGGTAGCCACGCTCGCTCGCCTCCCCGGGGAGGGACGGAGATAAGTATAGGAAGCGGGGCACCGGCAGCGCGGCGAGCACGGGGCTCGGAGGGGTCCCCGCAGCGCCCGGCGGGCGGTGATGAGGTGGAGGTGGAGGTGGTGGTGGTGGTGGTGGTGGGGAGGGGGTCGTGACTTCCCCTGGGCTGCGGCGGCACCCGGGAGGCACGCCTGCCGCCAGCTTCGCCTCGGGCAACCCCAATCCCATCCTCAGCACTGCGGTCCTGATGGGAATGCTGCTTGCTAATGTAATCACGTATTTCGCCCTTTTTGCTTACTTGCTCTCAGAACCGATGTAAATCCTCTAGGGGCCTTCCTCTGCCGAAAGTTAGATGCAATTTGATGCCTGCCCCTGAGGACCTCACTGTTGGGGGAAAACAAAATTTGGACACACCCCCCCCCCCCCCCCAGTGTTGTGTAGTAGGCAAGGTGTGCAAATAAATGCTATCAGCTGGAGGGTTTATCCTTAAGAAGAACATAAACGGTCCTGTCAAACATCCCTGAGGTATAAAATGCCACTTCAGTTTTCCCTCCATGCTCTGAAAGCCGATGATTCTTTTCCCACTTAACTGGCCCTCCGACAATGTCAAACTTGTCCAATTTATTTAATCACTTACTGACATGCCAGCTTGAAACCCTGGTCATCCTTCCTCACTTTTGTCTTATTGACAAGACCAAACCCTTTCATCAGCCCAAACAGGGCAGTAACAAATAAAATGAAAGTGGCAGAACAAAAGGAGACTTTGCTTAAAAGAAGAGGTTGGAAGTAGGAATCAATACAGAGGGACTAGAGGAACAGGTGAAAATATTTTGGGGAAGGAAGGAATGCTACATCCTGTGGCTGAGCTACATCCTCCTGTCTGCATTTATGTCAAAGAAGGAAAAAACTCATGAAATTTGCATTCCCTCTCACCCTTCTACTACAGTGTGTAAATATGACCTGCTCTAATTTTGCGTTAAAAATACTATGAGATTTTGGAGTACCTGTCAGCCCTGGGACCTCACCAGCTCTCTATTCTAGTAATATGTGCAAGCAGAATTCTTGGGTGTAGGTCCAGGTGGAAGGAAAAAGCTCAGCAGAGTTCTGAACTTCTGTGTAGCCTTGGCTGTGCAAATTGTGGTGGCTCTCGTACATTTGTAACCAGATGGACTAAAGGTATATTGGTGAGGAATTCCTCGCTGCCACCCGTGTTTAGGCATGTAGTTAATAGCTGATTATATTCCTAAAATCTGCAAGGTAAGCTTGTCTGAGCAGCTGGTACATCTCAGCTATGTATCTTGCAGTGTTTCGCATCTCAGGCTTACACTATTAATTGTACAGTAAATGTAGACTAAACAGTATAGCATAATTCTGACCAGTTTAGCTGAGAAAAAAATACCTTTCAGTTCATGCAGTCAATCTGTTGCTTTTGCAAAAAGAGCTTCCACTGAGAAATTATTTGGGATATTGTCCGAGGTGGAAGCAAACACAAAGGGCTCAGTCACCTGCTGGCAGACAACCTTCATTCCTCAGTTAGGAAATCACACCTAAGGATGTCACTCATTGATAATTAATGGGGACAGAGGTAGGGATAAAAATCTACAATGAAGTGGATCTGATTAATAAAAGAAAAAAACAAAAAGGCCACGTGAAACCAAAGGCATTAATAGCTAGACTGTCTCTTTAGGCAGACCTGAATTTGCCATGCATTAAGCTCTGTGCAACACCTCATTGCAAGAGAGTGACATTTCTTTTCTACTCTTTCTTTCATTAGAGAATGTATGAATGGGGAAGCAGAGTTAGTAACTCAGGCTTGGCTTTTCCCTCAGTGGCAAGCAGTGGTGTTTTCTTGGTAAGCCCACTGGGCACTGGCAAATTCTTGATCATTTCTCAGGTCAAGGCAAGGAGTCTAAGTCAGCAATTAACTATAAAACATCCATATGTCCATTCACGCCTGCTGAAGTCTTAGGGCAGCATAGAAGTTGGTTCAGCCTGTGTAGGGAACGCAACAAAATGTGATTGTGATGCCAGTTGTGAAATTATTACTGACATCAGCAGGGGAATGATTTGCTCTTCTTTATGACTGCAGTCAGAAAAGAAGCCTCGATTGGCAGCCTCCAAGGAGCTGTGTTTTCTTAAACATTACACAGATAGGAAATATTATGTATAACCGAGTTTTAATTGTTTCTCAAGTTAATTTCAGCATGAATAGGTTACACAATCATTTCAGAGAGATGCTATTATTTCACTTCTTTTAAGGTGGTATTTTTGCTTGCCTTGTGGCACAAACTTTTCTAAAAGAAAGTTTCTTAAAGAAAGATCTCAATAATTAGTTCTCTGGTATTAAGGAGGGGCACAAACCTGTAAGAATTTAGTAACTATTTAAAGAAAATACTTTCCATTAAAGAAAAGCTGGAAGATTATGATACTAATAACTGGATGGTGCCATTCTATGTAGAATTCCCACAGGTATTAATGGAAGTTTTGTGCTAAATCAGCAGTAGTTTAGGTAGTGGATTGTAAAAAAAGGATATGCTGCCCAACAGGATCTTAATCCTTCTGCATTTACTTAGGCAAACTTTGTCTTTGACATGCTTTTGAAATCTGTCCCAATTTCCAGCAGGAGTCATGTCTGAATAATATTACAGGATCAGGCTTCAAATGTAAGGGCAACAGAATTTAAATATATTAATACAGATCTCTTAATCCTGCGCTGTAGAACGCTGGTTAGAGGAGGAAAGAGCTGGAGCTTTACCTTGTTACTTCTTGTCTTAGCCACCGCAGACTGATTTCCCCACATGTTCTTGTACTTTTCTATTGTCAGGGACAGGTCTGTTGCTTAGACCAGTCTGCTGCAAGGATGGGGCCCCTGGAAGCAATAGGTGAAGAAAACCAGACGAATGAAATGAAAATGGAGCTGTTCACCAAGCTGTACTTGCCGAGATACACCACACCACTCAATGAATTGGCTCTGGACCCTAAACCAGAGCTGAAGGACAGCACAACACTAGTTGAAGTGCAGATAATCCTCATCTTTGCTTACTGTTCCATCATCCTTCTGGGGGTAATTGGAAACTCCCTCGTGATCCATGTGATCATCAAGTTCAAAAGCATGCGCACGGTTACTAACTTCTTCATTGCCAACCTGGCTGTGGCTGACCTGCTGGTGAATACATTGTGCCTGCCCTTTACTTTGGTTTACACGCTGTTGGGTGAATGGAAACTGGGCCCAGTCTTGTGCCACCTCGTGCCATATGCTCAGGCTCTTGCTGTGCATGTGTCTACTGTTACTTTGACTGTGATAGCTTTGGATCGGCACCGCTGCATCGTCTATCACTTGGAAAGCAAAATCTCTAAGCGGATCAGCTTCCTAATTATAGGAGTTGCCTGGGCAGTCAGTGCCCTGTTGGCAAGTCCCCTGGCCATCTTCCGTGAGTACTCATTGATTGAGATCATTCCTGACTTCAAGATTGTAGTCTGCTCTGAGAAGTGGCCAGGAGAGGGGCAGCTCAACTACGGCACCATCTACAGCATCTCCATGCTCCTGATCCAGTACGTGCTGCCGCTGGCAGTCATCTCCTATGCCTACACCCGTATTTGGACCAAGCTGAGGAACCATGTGAGTCCTGGGGCAGCGAATGACCACTACCACCAGCGACGGCAGAAAACCACCAAGATGCTGGTGTGCGTGGTTGTGGTGTTTGCTGTCTGCTGGCTGCCGTTTCACACCTTCCAGCTAGTCAGTGACATTGACAGTCAGGTGTTAGACCTGAAAGAATACAAACTGATCTACACAGTGTTTCACGTGATTGCCATGTGCTCGACATTTGCTAATCCCCTTCTCTATGGCTGGATGAATAACAACTACAGGACGGCCTTCCTCACGGCCTTCCAGTGCGAGCAGCGGCTGGACTCCATCCACCCAGAAGTATCGGCAGCTTTCAAAGCCAGAAAGAAACTAGAAGCAAAGAGGATTCAATTCCCTGGAGACTCTTTCACACAACCTACCAATGTCTAAGGTGTCTGACTTTAAAGAAGAAATGAATATGTTGTGGACAAAGGGATGAATCCATTTTGACACATGCATTTTAATGCATACTTTTATTCATAAATGGTGAAAAAGTAGCAGGAAAGTAAAGGCAGGTGATATGATTTGAGGGGTGTCAATCAGCATGAAGAGTTTGGAACTATGCAATTACAAGGAAATAAAAGGAAGAGACTTTGTTTATGGTTGCCTCTAACAGTCTTAGAGAGACTCCCATGCCTCCCAATCCTTTTAGCAAGTCTGAATGACAAAGGCAAGGTTTGCTGGTTTGACTCTATGAAGGCAAATTGCTGATTTATAACACAGGAATACTGATTGTGGAAGCAGGTAATTTTTATATTGGATATGGAGGCTGGGGAGAACAGAAGCCTGCCAAGAGAATGAAGCCTGTCTGGGGGCATTGGTCCATGCTGGCTAAAGCTCAGACTTTTCAGACCCCTTCCCGTCCGCAGGCATCTTTTGCAAAGGTAGGGAATTATGAGGAGAAATGTCACTGTTTTTTGACTTGTACTGAAGTAATTCAAACCAGAGCATTTGAAATAGATTACAGACAAAGAGAGAAAAGAGTTAAAAAACCCACAAAACCAAGCAAACACCCAAACAACAGATTAAATGTGAAGAAAGGTCAAGTTCCTACCTAAAATGAAATGTGGTTTTTGGCCAATCAAATGGGGGTAAAAAGTCATTCCTTAAGAACTGGCTGTAGCTATGCTGCTGAGAAAATCACAAGTCTGTGACCTGATCAGTGATTCCCTGCAGATCCCTATCTTTCATTCTGTGCTAGGCACAGCTCAAATGGAACGCTTTAAAGTGGTATTTGGGGGCAGAGGATGTAGTCTCAGGTCTTCTGTGAGCACTTCATAAACTGCCAATATTTTCATTTTCAAGACCTGCTTAAATGTCTATGGTGTTATTAACTCCACAGGCTTTGAATTGTTGCTGCTTTCTCCCTGCATAATAAAATAGCAGATAATTTTGATCCTCTGGAAAGGCTGCTTGATGGTAAAGTGCTTTTCGGTATTGTGATTTTATGTCATACACTCGTCTTGGGGCTTTTTCCATCTTTAGCCTTTGTATAATTAAGAACATCTGAATGACTGTAATCAAATAAAAGTATGCTAGGTTTATGTGATAACTTATCAGTTATTCTGCATGCTGTAGTTAATAGAGTTCCTTTTTTGCTCAGGTATAAAATTTTAATCTGTTTACTGTATTGTACACAGCAATGTTCAACTCTTCTGTGTCTTTGCTTAGCCTCCTTGAACCCATTAATTTCAACCCATGTTTATCCCAAGTTGCCCCATGGCTTATCTATAATAAAAATAAGCGTGATACTTTCACTTAGTGTTTCTTTCCAGTTACATTTCGGCTGCCTCGTCTTTTTTTTTCCTCAGTTTGTTGTTGTTCCTGAATTCATTGTGTTCTCTCTTACAAATTAAAACCCAACGAAACTCCATTACTGAAGTGTTAGCAATGAAATGGATGGTATCAGATCTTTATCAAGTGGAAGAATTTATCTTTATATATGCAGTATTTGGCACCATCCACTAAATATCCACGAAATCATTTGGACTTTGGTTTTCATGAACAGAAAGGGAGGTCTAGAGAATTAGCAAGTGTTTACTCAAGCAGGAAAAAGTATCCATCATTCTTAAACAGTTTTACAAAAATAGATTAATTCTGAACCATGTTGAGAATATATTGTCCACAAGTTATTTTTATCTCAGTATTAATAATATCCAAAATGTAAGCTCAAAACTCTTATGGGTGAGGAAGGATTATAGAAGTGTGCAATTATTATGGACATCAATCGTATGTATCAGTTACAGTTGACTCTGAATCCTTCATCAAAAGTATTATTTCCACAAATATCTTCCTTTATTTAAAAAGCAGATGGTTTAAAAGTTCTGTTTCAACACTTTAAAGCCTGTTAAAGTGTGGTATATAGACAGTTTTGAAGTAACCATGACCGTGTGTGCTGAAGCTACAATTTGTGGGCTGATAACTCAATAATTTTAAGTCTGCTTTACATCATCCTGCATAGAAGTGATTAATTAAAAATCATCTTTCAGTCTATTTCACGGTATCTTTATTTTACTGCTTCCTGAGCTTTCTTTGCAGCCATCACATTAAGCCAAAGTTGGTGTGCTAATTTATTGCATTGCTTTCCAGTCTGCCATGTGGAGGTGGTGCCTGGGTCAGTGCCTGCTTCAGGGTCACAGACCTCTGCACAGTGTTCCACTGCAGGATGTGGATTTTCCCATGGCTGCTTGAAGATGGAATGTGGAAGAGCCAGCATGCACAACCCATCACATAGCTTAGTCGCTCTTTGGGACATGGCTCCTGCCCAAACACAGCTATGCAGTTCAGTACCCCTTCAAGTTGTAGGAAAATTAAGCATTTTCTTACCAAAAGGAGTAAGGTAGCAACATCTATCAGAATTGCCCCAAATCCCAGCTGTCAGAAGGGCCTGGAAACTTACGGTTTGTCCCTGTTTCCCACTAAGGAAAGTGAACCTGTAAGCAGGCTCTAACCACTGGACTGAGGAGTCTGCAGGGGAGCCTCTGCTTGGCCTGAAATAGGAACTAGAATCCAGGTCTCTCTATTCACCTGTTAGTGCTTTAATTAGTCTTTTTAAAAAGCATTATATTATTTTCCCATTGAGCAGGTAAAAGTTTTATACAAAGCCAAAGAACACCAGCAGCAACACTCATTGAAGAATTTGCAAGTAGGCAGCAGGGCACCCAAAATGAAATGTCACTGCTGATTCAGGGCAAGAATTTGAATCAAAATGCCTCGGTTCTCAGGAGAGTGACCTAGCCAGCACACTGCAGCCTCCTCTGAGGTAGCAACATATGTCTTCTTAGAGCTGTTCTATTGTATATAAAATAATTAAACATTGAATACAATTATTTCATGAGCAGATCATTATGACCTTTGCATGGTGCTCGGGTTCTGGGCCAAGGATGTCAAAATCGATAAAGACAGAATTTAAATTAGGCCCCCTTCCACTTTCTTTATGAGTACTTCTGCTGTGAAGATACTGCAGTACAGGCAGAAGGCGAGCAAAGGCAGTAGCACTGTGTTGATCTCTGGGTGGGTTGTACATTTGGCTCTCATTTGGTGCTGGTTTATAAAAGGGAGAGCTATGTGCCACATAGATCTCCACATACGGCAGCAGACTAAGACCAAGCATAAGGAGTATCACCGTGAATCTGAGAAAAAAATACATTAGAGGGCATAAGCGATTAAAACAGAGGGACTAAGCAAAGGTAACAAATGGGTTTCATATGCATTCTTATTTTTATATATATATATATACATACATATATATATATATATATATATATATATATATATAATCACAGAATCATAGAATCAGAATAGTTAGGGTTGGAAAGGACCTTAAGATCATCAACCCCCCTGCCATGGGCAGGGACAACTCACACTAAACCACGTCACCCAAGGCTCTCCCCAGCCTGGCCTTGAACCCTGCCAGGGATGGAGCATTCACAGCTTCCATGGGCAGCCCATTCCAGTGCCTCACCACCCCTACATTTTATGGCAGAGCTGTGCAAAGGCTGTTTGGTGGGGTTAAGGCTGTTTGGTGGGGTTAAGTCTGTTGGAAATACTTGCCTGTTGGTATGATTGTGTCTTGTATAAAATGTGTAACGGACAGACATATATTGCTAAAATATTAATAAGTTATCTAACACCAAGAGTAAAAACTGAATGGAAAATATTATCTGCATTTTATCTGTCAGACCACAAAATAACCCCTGAATTCACAGATTCTTATAATCCATTTCCTTGCTTCATAGTTTCTAAACTCCCTCAGGGATTTTTCTTATTTTAATCCAGATAATGACTTTAACGGATGAATTTTGTCTTTGGATCCCTGAGTTATTTACCTGGTACCGTCATTATAAATGCCACTCCACAATAAGGGAGCTACTTCGTGCCAAATAACAGGTTTTTTTCCTATAAGAAGCCAGGAGATGTATGTAGATCTACTCAGGTTAGTGTTGCTGAGGAGCCATGTTTAAAATACTGCAGTGTAAATGCTTATTTGTGCAGTCAATAGTGATTTTCACATCTCATCTTCATTTTTTAAAAATATTAAATCAAGTGTTATTTTAAAATAAAATGCAACGGGAGTGAGGATATCTGAAACTGCTAAAACTGGAGAAGTAAGGAAGTCAGAGGATGAGTGGCTACTTCAAGAAGCAAGAAATAGAGAACAAGAACAGGGCTAGTGAGGATGCAATTGATTTATAGACTTCCCTTCTTCGCTTAGTCTGAGTGGTGAGAGAAACGTGTTAAAATGAAGCCAGGGCAGATGAAGACACAGATCAATTGTATGCAAAAAGGACAGTGTTGCCTGGGGAAACTGAGGAACTTCGAGGATAAATTCCCATGATCATTTCAGCCTTAAAATTCACATCATGTTCTCAAGCAAGTAAACCTGTGCCTGTACGTTATTCCACCTAGAAGCAATATAGGTAAACAGCTCTGTACAGATAATCTACCAGAAGCAATGGATGTGTTATTAATTCTAGCCAGTACATGGGATGAATAATGCATATGTACTCCTCATAAGCTCATTTCAGATGGGATATATGAAAAAATTGGTGCTTGTGTTAAAATCTTTCCCCTCTTACACTTTACTGAGCTCCTCTTGAAGGAAGAGAGCTTCAAGCTATAAAACTTAAAAACTGTGAAATTACATATGTGATGATGGAGGCACAATTTAACTTGAAAAAATCTTTATATTTTTTGTTTTGCTATTTTTTGTAGGCGAAACAGGCTGTGATTTGCCTCTTGGACCTGCAGTTGAATTTGCACAACTAGACTTTATATGAATCAGACTTTTATTTGTGTACTACTTCACAACTCTCATAAGCTACTAACCCTGCTATACAGGATATTTTCAACAGCAGAGCTTACGCTTACACATCCATGAGGCCAAACTATTCCTATCCCTTCAAGGTTGCACAGAAAAACAGAAGTCAAGGGCAATTCTCCTATTTACTGTCATCCTCCAAAATTAGAGCTGTTGGTACCCAATTGGATTTTAAAGTTTGTTGGAAGCACTGAGACTTTTAAACTTACTTAAGGTAGCCAACCTGGTGGAACAGCAGGCCTTGCTCCTGCTGCAATCTGGCTCTGGACAAGCCCATCCTAGTGGAGCATGGCCACAGTTATCACCCATCTGAGCCAAACTGAAGACAGAAGCTGAGGATTGCTTCCAGAAGCTGGGCTGGGAAAATGTGGATCAGTTTTTCAGGGCTTCGTATCTCTGTTTATGCCAGTGTGAGGACAACACACATTGCATTTGGTGGTTCCAGTTAAACCCTGATGCAGATGACTCCACAGAGTGTAATTATGCAAGTGCCACATATAGGTTGCCTTTCAAGCTGATCATAGTCCAGACAGCTGACAGTATGTGTCACCCCTGTACTGACAGCATGGAAACTGCATACCGGCACAGGGAGAGCTATGATAGCTGCAGGTCACATACTTAGTCTGGGCTGACAACAACATAGCCACAGCACAGTTTCTCTCAGGCTGGCTAATCCTGTCTGCCTTAGAGCTAGATTAAGGCTTGGTCTGGTATCTCCTACTGCCTCTAGAACTGATGTACCCCAGGGCACCAAAAACCAATAGCCACTTCATAATAATGTGGGAAGAAGCGAATTCTTCCCTGTGTCTCCATCAGCCATACTACTCATAACGGAACCAAACTGGCAGGGCCAACTGCTGGGAAGAATATTTTACGCATAAGAAGTGATAATGTTCTTGTACTGACAAAAATACTGGCTGACAGGTGATTATGCCAAAATATAAATACTTTAAGACAGAGCTGGATGGAGTGGTGGGATGTGAGCCTGTGCAGCAGCCCCTCCTCTGTAAATGCAGCATGAAGCAGATGCTGCTTTAGGCGCTTCTGGTGGTGGGGGAGTGAGGGGAGCAGGACAGACTCTTCCTCAAAATATCTGCCTCGATTTAGAATGTGGTATTTAATGGCCCAGTTTCTGTCATGGGGTAGGACCTCCTTGTCAGGAACAGATGATTTCATCTGTTCTCACAGTCACTGGGACATCTTCCTCACTTTTTCATAAAAACCTCATGATACAAAAAAGTTACATAAAATAACAAATTTTACACTTTGCAGCCTAATCATCTCTATCTCAAACAGAGGAGCTAATTATTTCATTGCATTTGACGAGGGTTCATTTCAAACTATGAAGGACCAAGAAAAAAGAGAGGAGCATTTTCTGAGCATGAAAATCTACCTTTGCTTGAGCAGAACCATGCAGGAGTTTCTTGTGTTTGCATG